TTTTTCTCATCTCAGTTTATGACTCCTCTACCATGAAAAGCCACTTATGCCCTCCACGGTTACATATACCATATCCTTCAAGGCCAGTAAATCACAGTCTCAAGTCATGTCAAATTTTGCGAAATAAAACTAAATTGCAGTTGTCCTCTAAGGCAAGAAGCTGCAAAATTGAGAGAAAACAAGCTCTGTTTAAAGCCAGAAACCTGGCCGGCAGCTTCCCATGGTGTGTGTGGGTAAGGATCACCAAAAACCTCTAAATGAAAGGGAAAAGCCTGATATCAGGGAGCCCAGGGGACCCTCTGTGCCACCCCAACAAGCTGCCTCCATAGGTCTTCTGTGGTCTAATATCAAAATAGTCCAAACTCGCAGGATTTCTCTGTATAAGCTGAGCCTCCACTCCCCCGCAGTCAGCTGGGACCAGGACAGAGCCAGGCTCCAGCAGCATTTATTCATTGAGGCTTGGTCCCTGGGCTGGATTTATACTTGGGAAGAAAACTGGGGAACTGATGGGATCATAGCTTCTTGTTTTAAGGGGGTTTTATGCACACAAAAGTTAGAGAAGTACCAACACAGCAGGGTTTCACTTGGCTGAGCCAGTCTGGGTTCACTCAAAGTGCTGGGCACCGTACCAAGAACTAGGGAAACTGAGGACAAAGTTAGAGTACCAAAAAAGAACCATTGACCCCAAACCCACCCTTTACATTTTTCAGGGGCACAGTGGCTTGTCTTTTCCCTTCTGCAGAGTTAAACTTTCATGACAGCTGAATTAACTTGGAGAAGAGCCAGCTCCAGGGACAGACAGCAGCATGCTAGAATAAGAGCAGGGAAGACCCATACCACTGCTGTTCTTGCTAATTCCCCTCCCTGCATCCCATGCAACTGATTTGCAGGGGGCTCAAATTGTTCCATGCATTATAGATTCACCGTCACACCATGGCACAGCAACCAGTCTGGCACAGACACCAGGGCAACTCTTTCACCATGTATGATGATCTCTCACAAAAGCCTTGCAATAAGCACCGCTATTTTGGAAAACCCTATTTAAAAGTTTGTCCCATGATCTAAGCTCAGGAGGCTGCTTTGCTTCACAAGGTGACCTCGTACCACATTGCATGAGCTCAGAGCATAAGGTGCATCCTCTTCACGTGGAAGAACACCTCCATAGAAGCAGGAAAGATACAAACCACAAAAAAAAAAAAAAAAAAAAGGAAAATTACAAGCAGCCATGACAGAGACAAGGAAAAACGCAAAACATCTCATGCCAGATCCTTAGCTGATAAAAACTCAACATGCATAACATACAGCTTCGGGCTGGGATACACTTACCCCTCTCTGAATGTTTAATGGGAGCATATGCATCAGTTAATCAGCAGCACAAGACACAAAGTGTTTTGTACCTCCTCTCCACGTATTGTGCAATTAAAAGGCTTCTCATTCAGGCACAGAGAGAAAAGTCAAGGGACTTCGGCTGTGAAACATCTATTATTCAAAAGTGTATCCATTATTCAAAGTTTTTCTTAAAATCCTACTGTCAGCTTGAAAGGAAAAAGAAAATGAGTTTTTGAAAGCTGTGTTCCGTTGATATTCCGCTCCAATTTTTGCTGATTGTAAGTACTAAAACTCCAGACATTTTGCAGAGCTGAAGAAATCCTTCACAGTTCCTGAAAAAGGCAACACCCTGTGGGTAGACACAATTTTTTCCCCCCTCACTTAACTCTACCTAGCAGAGATGTGATATACCCTGGCAAACAGCATGTTCCTTTCCCAAATTGCTCAGCTACCCCAGTGTGAGGATAACAAGCATCTACTCAGGAGAAGACAAGACCAAATTACTCAGCAAACAGTAGCAGATACCCACCATTGGCCTGACCAGCTTGTTGACACCCATAAACTCAGCTGAATGAAGGTTGGGTGGGATGCACAACCTTCTCGCAGCACCTGGGAGCTTCAGTGTAGGGTGCCAGGACCAGGCTGTAGAAGGTCACATGGGAAACAAGTCCCAAGGGTGCCACCCACCACCTAGGTGTGGGTGCAGAGGGGCAACAGGCCCCACAGAGCCAGTACAAGGGAAAGCCCAGCACTAGCACAGCTCCTGCTGCAAAGGGAAGACATGGGCACAACAGAACGGTGCTGCTCCAGGAAAACTGTCATTCATACAGGAACCACCTGGATGGTGGAAGATCTTCAGCAAGAGCAACAATCAACTGCTAACACTAGGGCATAAAAACAAGTAACAAAAGAGGTTTTACCTCCTCTAGGTACTGGAGAACCTAGAGGGAAGAGTGTTGAAAGCCCCCAGGTCCAGGCATCACATACCTCTGTAGGGATGAGATGGATCTAAAGTCCAGGTGGCCAGTCAGCCCACAGCTCAGAGTCAGGTTCAGAGAAAGTACCCAGGACAAACACACTTAGCTAGGTCCAGAGCAGTAGGGTCTAAGGCTAGCCTGGCTATACTGAGCTACAGATTAGTGCTTCTACAATACAGCTCAAAAAAGAAGTCAAGTCCCCAGACTGAGCTTACATAGGGCTCCAGGCCCATGGGTGGGGATGCTCAGGTGAGGCCAGTCAGGGCCACTAAAGGTTATTAAGGCACTCAAAGGCCCAGTAAAGACTTATGGGGAGGTGGAGCAGGAAAGGGTGGTTCTGCTGTAGGGCTAGCTGCTGGAGAAGCACAAGGAGCTATAGGGTGAAACAACTTTTGAAGCTGTGTATCAGATCAAGAAATAGAGGCTAGAACCTGAAAAGTGATTCAGAGCTACAGGATAATAAAGATGCTTATTATTTTATCAAAACCAAATATTTGTGAGAAAAGAACATAAGCTTTTGAAAGGCTTCCTTGTTCTTGAAGAGGCAAGGCTGTAAGGTATTGGGGTCTCTAAAGGCCTGAAGGTTCTTCTACTTGGGCAAAGGAAGATCAAGAGAAGATGTGACAGAGGTAGGCAGCGCTCAGTGGTGAGGGACTTGTTGTAATTGTAATATATATAAAAAAATACTGTTGGGTAGACTTAAAATCAGTTTCTTTAGGTTTTCTGTATGTATAGTGCATAACTAAACTGTGGAACCTCCTGTGGTGTGACCTGAAGACACCAGAGATACTATTTCAACAAAGCAAACTGATGGAAGGATAATGACTGAAGACTAATAAATGCAGTAATCTAGGTGTAATGTATTAAAGTCCTTAAATACTGCTGGAAGACTAGTGGGTGCAACAGGGTAAGGGTCCTGCTCTTCCACCATCACACTAACTACTTTATCACCATCAGACTGCTAACCTAAGGTGTTGTCAATAACTTAGGGGATAGCTTGAACATATAAAATGAAACTGTTGTTCAGTGGTCTATGCTGACTGCTACCTTTAAGCAGTGCATTTACCAAAAGTACACTGATGTTTCAATAGCAGATACTTGTAGAGTGCTTCCAGGACATTAAAATGAGCTGGATGTTATCCACAGGACAGCTATGGCTCACAGCTTATTTGGATAAATTCTTTGCTGCAATAGGCCATTTTCTGCTATTACCAGTGAAATAAGCTAAAACCCCACTTCTTTTCTTCTGCAATGAGAAGCTGTGCTTAAGGTGATGAATTTGCAAAGCTTTTAAAGGATGGATGAGAGTTAAATAACTTCCTCCAGGGTCTAAGGCACTGCAAAGCAGGACTGAAGTCGCTGTCAGGACGGTATTGCAGCAGAGGAAGCACTTTGTAATCAGAGGCAATGCTAAAGCGGCTTGTGTAGCCAGTTTATGCAAAGCTGGAACAGTAGGGCACAGCACAGACAAATTTAAGTATTGTCACATGAAACGGTTCAACTATTCTGTCTCCACAGTTCATTGTAGTTCAAGTCTCTCTCATTAAGCTTCAAAGAGTATAGCCAGCTTGTTACCAGAGTTTCGGTTTCCTTTTGTTTGCAGTGATGCTTATGAAGGTAACGGTATCTGTAATCACCCCTCCTGGGACCAAGCTGGACTGATGCAGGGTCAAGAGCACACTCCTTCTCCCCAGGGAGAAATGCCTGGGGACACAGGTGGGCAAGGTGGAAGGCAGGCAGCGGAGCAGTCTCCCTTCCTTGCTGGTCACTGCTGGAGGCAGGATGGGTCAGTGACTTCATTCCTTGTTCAAAACATACATGCAAACCTTTATCCATCCACCCATGTCTGTCTTATTTTGGTCCTCATTTCAGATCAGACCTTTCTGTCAAGCTGCTAATTGGGTGCCTGGTAGGGCTCTGCTCTAATGTCCTACAGCAGTGGCTCCCAAATGGAGATCGGTGGGACCCTGATTAGCTTCAGTTGCTCTTTGTACTGCTCAAACTGTAAAAAGAAGCTGCAAGTGAGCTACTTTGCTCCTGTAACCAATAACCACAGCAAACACATGACATTAGGCTGTTGTCAATAAGGGAAAAGTGATCAATAACCTACTGATGAAGTTGGACAAGCTGTGTGAGAAGTGAGCTTAATGCCTGGACTACATATGTGACTCTACCACAGGGAAATGTTGTGGGGTCAGGTTCTGAGTGCTGTGTAAATTTATTCAAGATTTTGGGAGGCCAGGCAACCTGGTCAAAACTACTGCTCCTGCAGCTGTGGTGATAGAGGACACTCGCAAGGTATGCTTGATGCTGCGGGATCCTCTAATTTACTATACAGTAAGAAATCCTTGACAGAACTATAGGGTCCCCTGTGTGAAGGCATGAAGCAAAGCATCAGCCACACAACTGGGTGGTGGCTGCAAAAGTTTCCCCCTCTGATTTGGGCTGCAGAGCTCTCAGCCTTGGCAGGAGCCTTCCCAGCTGGTGGTTAAGCCCAGAAAGGGGACAGGCTAAAAGCACACAGCCATCAACAGCTACCCCAGTTCAGCTGACATGCAGCAACTTCTTAAGCCACCATAACCAAGTTGTGTCCCTGACTCATTTGGCTTGTCCACTGTTGGGGTGGGAGCTTGGGGAGTCTCCTCTTCAGGGCAGTGAAAGAATGGGAGGCTGAGTCCTGGGGAAACTGCACATTTACTTCATGGAGATGATGACCTTTCCTGTGGCCTTGTGCTGGAGTATATGGTTGGAGGCTTCATTTACCTGCAGACTCAAAGCCACAGGTATTTAGGTGATGGCCATCAGGGCAGGGCTTTGCAGGGAAGGGAGGGGCAGAATGAGGATGCATGGGAGAAGCCTGCATCTGAGTCTGGGCTTTCCATCCCTGGGATCAACTGCTGGGATTGAAATAACTCAGGATCAGACCAGCTCCTGGGTATTCCTCTGCCTTACGTCCCTGAATGTGCTGAATGGTGGCTATGTAAATATTTCTGAGGAATTGAGCCATTACTTAAGGATTAAATTACCATCAAATGAGGGGGGAAAAAAAGTGTTTTGAACACCTTCAGAGGTGCTCAGGGGGAAAAATGCAAATGAAGGCACATCAGGATCCACTAATTCACTTCTAAAATATTATCCCAGCACATTATTCTTTAAGACCACAAACTCTTTGGTATGTGAGCGAGCGGTTTTTATATGACTTTGCCATTGAGCACATTGCAATCCTGGCCTTGCAGTACCAAACCAGGAGTTAATGACTCCCTGGATCAAACCCAATGAAAGAAGATTAAAAAGGGTGAGGGGAAAATGGGATTTCTTGATTTAATATTTTTGTTTCTTAGAGAAGCAGGACTCTGGAGGCTCCTGTGCCAGGGGCCTAACTGCACATAAAAATCTGTTTCTATCTACAAAAAAAGCATTGCAAAAATAATCCTGAGGAATCTGCTTTATGCTTACCTCTTTCAGTTTGAAGAGTGCTCCAACATGGGGATGGATATTTCCCTCCTGGCAATGCTGGGGAAGAGACAGTAGAAGAAAAAAAAATGGGGAAGTCATCTTCCTGGTACAGACTAGGTGTGCTCCCATTGCAGACACATTTGTTAGAAGCAGCAGATTAGTGGGAATTGAGGGGGTTTTTCCTCCAGCAAAATCCAACCCCACAATCCTGCTCCCCATGCCAACCTGCAAGGACAGGGAGGAAAGAAGATAGATCTAGCAGAGGTCTCGCACCTTGTCTTGAGGCAGTACTTGCGTTCTCAGGAGGGCTGAAGAGCTGTGGGTGCTGAGCTTTCAGGTATGAAAAGCTCTGGGCTGGGCTGTTGTACTTTAGGATTGGTTTTCAAAGAATGTACTTTAAAACTTAAAAAAAAGGGGGGGAGGGGGAACAAGCCAAGGTCCTGTCCTACCCACACCCCCTCTGTGTGCACAGGGGGCTTAGGCACAAGCATTGACCCTGGGAGGTGGTCGGCTGCATCTGGACCCTAAAACAGCCTCCCCTTGGCTGCATCTCTGCAAACACAGCCCCATGGGTTTGCTTAACCTTCCCCCAAAGGTCAGCAAAACCCTTAAACAGGTCAACAGCATCACCTGTGCTTGCACAGGTTTGTTATAAAGCAGAGCAAGGCAGGGCTTTTATTTCAGTGAATCTTTGCAGAGCTGCATTGAAGAGGTCCCTGCTGATGGCCTCCATGGTCACATTGTCCCCTCTGCTACTTGTGAGCTTCTTCACCTCCTCTCTGTCTGCTCTGGCTGTAGTTCATGCCGTGGCTTGTGCCACTCTTCAGAGCCAGCTCGTATTTGGGGTCGCTTCCAGTTGTCACTATCACCTGAGACCAAAGGAAAATGCACCACCCAGTGTGAAATCTGCTCTGCTCAGAGAAGCACAGAGCATCTCAGGCTGGAGGTACATTTCTTTTTTATTTTATTTATAGCAAATAGAAAGTTGGAGCCAGTGACCCAACTCTCTCTCTGTATGTGTTTAAGATGTGTATATGTATATGGCACAGCAGAAAAACATGTCCTTGATTTCCAAAAGGGACAGTATGTTTCCAGGCCACAAGAATCCCCCCACCATCAGGGATGTGCTGGGTACCACAGCCGTTCAAGGAGTATCTCTGGAAAGGAGGTCTGTCCCCTCGCCTGGCTTAGCTGAACCTAAAGTGCTGCTGGCTCTGGCCCAGCACAGAGCTTTGATGTTGCAAAGTGAAATGATCTGCTAAGTGAGGATCAGCGTTTGCCGTCTGACTTTACAAGCAGAAGTACATTAACTCCAGGCTGTAGAGAAAATGTCGCTCCTGTACTGTTCAGACAGACCATGTAATTGCCTCCGCTGTGGGGCAGGGGGGGGAGGATTGCATGAATCGAGGTGTAGACATGATTTCTGTAGGCTGTCCCCACCTGTGGTGTTGTCTCTCTGTATGAACATCAGGAAGTTGCTTAATCTCTACGGCTTTGTCTAGTGACGTTTCCATGTTTCAGAGGAGCGGAGAACTCAGCATTTCACCTGCTACTGAAAATCCAGTGAGTTACAGCCATCCCCCAGTACAGCTCCCTAGCCCAGGCACAGAGGTATGACCCTGCTCCTCCAAACCAGAGCTGCTGCCCTAGAGCCCCATCAGGAGAGATGCACATGGACAGTGTATGGGTTTTATGTGGCAAGGTTTTGGTAGCGGGGGGGGTTACAGGGGTGGCTTCTGTAAGAAGTTGCTGGAAACTTCCCCTGTGTTCGAGAGAGAGCGAGCCCATACCAGCTGGCTCTAAGACGGACCCGCCGCCGGCCAAGGCCGAGCCAATCAGTGATAGTGGTAACGCCTCTGGGATAACATTTTTAAGAAGGAAAAAAAGTGGGGACAGAGAGAAAACAGCCGCCAGAGAGAGGAGTGAGAACATGTAAGAGAAACAACCCTGCGGACACCAAGGTCAGTGCAGAAGGAGGGGGAGGAGATGCTCCAGGCGCCAGAGCAGAGATTCCCCTGCAGCCCGTGGGGAAGACCATGGTGAGGCAGGCTGTCCCCCTGCAGTCCAGGGAGGTCCACGGTGGAGCAGATCTCCACCTGCAGCCCAGGGAGGACCCCACGCCAGAGCAGGTGGGTTCCCGAAGGAGGCTGTGACCCCGTGGGAACCCCGCGCTGGAGCAGGCTCCTGGCAGGACCTGCAGATCTGTGGAGAGAGGAGCCCACGGAGCAGGTTTTCTGGCAGGACTTGTGACCCCGTGGGGGACCCACGCTGGAGCAGTGTGCTCCTGAAGGACTGCACACCGTGGAAAGGACCCATGCTGGAGCAGTTCGTGAAGAACTGCAGCCCGTGGGAATGGCCCACGTTGGAGAAAGTTCGTGGAGGACTGTCTCCCGTGGGTGGGACCCCACGCTGGAGCAGGGGAAGAGTGTGATAAGCCCTCACCCTGAGGAGGTGAAGCGGCAGAAAATAACGTGTGATGACCGTAAACCCCACCCCTGTCCCCCTTGTGCCACTGGGGGGGCTTGGTGGAGAAATCTGGGAATGAAGTTGTACCCGGGAAGAAGGGAGGGGTGGAGGGAAGGTGTTCTGAGATTTGGTTTTATTTCTCATTTACCTTACTTTGGTTGATTTGTAATAAATTGAGCTAATTTTCCCTAAGCTGAGTCTGTTTTGCCCGTGACGGTAATTAGTGAATGATCTCTCCTGTCCTTATCTCGACCCGCAAGCTTTTTTGTTATATTTTTCTCTCCCCTGTCCAGCTGAGGATGGGGGAGTGATAGAACGGCTTTGGTGGGCACCTGGCATCCAGCCAGGGTCAACCCATCACAACAGCAAGCTCGCCTTTGGTGAGACAGCTGTGCAATGTTGCCTGCTCAGGACACTTCCTAGTGAGGGGAATGGGGAATGGATTCACCACTGCATGTGGCCTGTGGTTTATAAAGTCTCTCAGCGCTGAATGGGTTTACCAGGGACATCAAATTCTTTGTAGAAAGTTCATGTTGAACAGTTTTAAAGCTCGTGCTGGTATCTGTGTATATGTAGTTTATATGAGTTGCTTTTCCTGCAGGCTCTGACAACTTAATACTGTTGAAATTCAAGAGGTCGGGGCTGCTGACCACATCTCTTGCTGGCTATATCCCACCTGGATGCTGTGCATTCCTCACCTCCATCGGATCTGCACGCTTCCCCCCCACTTGGAGGGAGGGAAAATCAAGGCACAAACCCGAAATTATCTTCCCCAGCTTATACAGGTGTGTATAGAAGAGACAAGATGCCCCAACATTTTTGACAGCTGAGATGTCCAGGTTTGGGATTGTGCTTCGTGTGCTGCCCTCTGAGCTGCCACTTACCCCGGCTGAAGCCATGCCCTGTGGTCGAGAACCAGTGAGGTTGTGCTGTAGGTGGTGGCTTGCAATTTTGGAAAACAAGTGCTCTGTATCCTTCCCTTCTGATCAGTGATGCACTCTGCTGCCATAGCTTTAGTGCCAGTCACACCAATTACTATGTATCCCTGCCAAAAAAAAACCTTATTGGATGGGTGTCAGGGGTGAAGTCACACAGTCCTGCTGTTCTCTCCAAATTAAACATTTGACCTACCTGTGTTTTCAGGAAGAACCGTGAGCAGCTCAAGCTGTATCTAATAACAGTCCACTTAGCAATTGCACTAACTGCGTGTATTTACCCCCTTCATCTTCTGAATGTGATTCCTCACGCAGAGCCTATGCCTTTTCTGTCCAGCAGAGCTCAGCACCCCTCCCTCGTATCGACAACCACAAAGGCTTGAAGAGGACAACCTCCATGACACACACCTGGATCTCCACCCACAGTGACCGATGAGGGACCATGAGGCCATTCCTAAATTCTTACATTCCTGCATTTTTCTTATCTTCTTTACCTTGCACATGGGCAGGTCCCTGGGCCGAGGGCTGGGGAAGTTTTCAGCAGCAAAGCACCAGGTGGGCAGAAGATGGCAGCATCAGCTCAGCAGATAGCAAACTCTTGCTTAACTAGGTAGGGATTTCTTTTAATTGGGAATATTGGTATGTTTTTACAGAGGAAAGGAGATATTTTCTTGCCTTTGGACTTCAGAATTATGATCAAGGCACAAGATGCAACTCTCCTGGACTGGCAAAGCCAAAGGAGATGGCTCAGCCTGAAGGGCTTAGCATGAGGACCACACAAGCATCGCCTGTGCATTGAAAGATGCAGGGCCGTGAGGGCCAGAGGGGTTTTTTGGGAGGGGCGAGGATGTGCCTTCAGCGGGGGAACAGTCCCTGTGTCCACACCAGGCTGAAGGGTGCCAGGGTGGTATGCCTACCCGCAATGCTAGGCTGTCTCACGTGCTTGTGTGAATTATTACAGCACTGAGGAGCTCTAGGCTTTGGACAGAAGAACCCAGCCCTGCCCCAGACCTCTCTATGCTTTGGTTTTCTTAGCTTTCAGATAAGCTTAATATTTACTGTAGCTCTCCCCAGACCAGCATGAGTGCTCTTTGCAGGCTACCTTGAAAATGCAAAATATTGTACATTGAGTATTTTCAGAAAGGACGTTAAAATGCGGTGGTCTTCTTGGCTTTAAGATGATGCCTTAAGTGAGCCTCTGCTTTACCTGCAGCGGCCTTCATTTCCCAAGGAGAATTTAATACTTTAGCTCATTTTAGTCACACTATGCTTTCTGCACAGACCAGTCACCTTCTCACCAGGAGTGAAGGGAAGAGCACGGTTTTCCAGCTACAGACCCTGGCAGGCCAAGATACCAGCAAAATTTAACATGCAGTAATGGACACCCACTGGGACCTGCAAGAGAGAAGGGGACAAACATTAACTCCCTCCCATCCTACAGCAGCAGAAGAGTTTTAGAGCCCCTGCCCTGAGTCTACAGCAAAGTTGGAATAACCAAATCCTGATCTCTTCTGTTGCCATGCTGACCACTGTGCTGTCCCATCTCTCAGAAGACACTGGTGCTCTCTAAGTCATGGGGTCACAGCCTCAAGCAGATGAAACCAGGGACAGCAACTGTTTTTGCTGTGGCTGTGTGGATTCTCCCCTGGGATGTGGTCACATGGGACCTGGTGGAAAATGGACAGTGTGCATTGAGGAGTACCTACTGTGCTGGGACAGTTTTGTGCTATGCTTCAAGTTGGGATGTTTATTCTTTCAGTCTATGTCGATTATTACAGGAGAATTCTGTGGATTTTATCTCCTTGGTGCAGGTACATGAGGTCCTGTGGATTTTAAGCTTGTCATCTCCTTTCCCCAGTGCAAATAATTGGGGAAAACAAAAACCCACACTTTTGAGACCTCTGCTCTTTCAAGGACATGGCAAATATGTAATGAACACTCTACCACCATGGTGGGGGTGTACATTGGGATGGGCTGGCAGATACTGGAAATGACATGTGGGAGGGGGATGAGAACTGACCATCATGCTGCCTTGCATCCTGGATTTAACCTTCCTCTTTCCTTCTGTCTTCTATACCTTTTGCAACCTGCACAAAACCTTTGTCTGTTTTTATGTCCTGTTCTTAGCCAACTTCACTGGGATGGGACTTAGGACATCTTCCAGCTCTGCTGCTGCTTCTCTGCCTGAAGATCTTGTCCAAGACACTTGTGTAAGTTCAGCATCCACACTTGTAAAAGGGAGGTAGAGACCCTCTTCTCTTTAAAGAGCCTGGGGAGATGTCGGTGAGGAGAGGTGACTCTAGTGTTCTTGCTAACATAGTATTTAAGGGGCTGATTTGAAAGCAGGGCTTATGCTGTTGTAAGGTGTTGCCCAAATACTACAAAAAGAGGCAGCCCCTCGTGTTGCGGAGGGTTTCAGGGCAAATGGACAGGACAGAGCAAGTTGGGAAGGACCGGAGATACTGTCAAACAGGCAGAGCAGGGCATTCTCCATGAAGCTGGTGGCCCCTCCACTGGCAATAGTGCCTGCAGAGGGGAAAAGGACAGCAGGAGAGATCCAAAGAGAAGAAGGTGCTGAAGCAGATGATTGGAGCTGAAAAAGGGAAGCAGAGGAACAACAGATCCTGGAGAAGAGAGCAGACCAGGCAGGGCAGGTACAAGCTCCCCTGAGGAACATGACTTGACCAGGGACTTTGCCAGCTTGGTAGCCCTGAGCACCTCCTCTCCAGGAGGTTTGTCCCAGGATTCCCATCCTGAAACACAAGAGCCTGCAGGAGGTATTACCCTGTACCATCCTCTCACCAGGGCAGTGTTTCATAAAGCCCTCCCAGCTAAAGCCAAGGAGTATCTCAGGGATGCTCCAGCAAGGTGGTGTGGGAGCAAAGACCTTCAGTGCTGGGCTTGGGGGAAGCAAAGGAAACCCTGTCCTGGGGCTGAGCTGCAAGCAGGCCTGTGGGAGACAGTGGGTGCTGAAGGGGAGAGAGGAGGGGATGGAGAAATGGGGATGGAGAAAAAGAAAGGGTGCCGCAGGGCCTTCCAGGCCCCCCTGTGCCCCATCCCACCTCGGGGCAGCTGGGGAGGCAGCAGAGTCCCTGCAGTCCCTGGCAGTTGGGCAGCAGCAGCTCCCTGGGGCACAGCCGCCCACGTGGCTGTACATCCCAAGGGGACTGGGCGTCAAGTGCTGACTGATGCTTTCAATATTGGGTAAATATTTAAATGCTGGGTAAATATTTAAATATCTAAGTAGACCTTCGCAGCTCCAGTGAACCACACCAGCGGAAAAACCTTGCAGAGGAGCATTTTACATCCTGAAAGCTCATTTTTTTGCAGTGAGAGAGTGTGCCTTTGCAGGAGCACATGGTGGTTCCCAGCAGCTATAAAATGCTGCCTGCTGCCATTGCAGTGTGTCATCACACTGGTTTTCCAGATGGGGAAACTGAAAATGCATGAACCACACAGGGCCATGGGGTGAGTCAAAGCTCACAGAGCCAGGGGATGAGAAACCCTGATCTGCTGACTCTTCATCCCATGGTTTAACCACAAGCTCTTCCCTTCCCCTCGGGGAATCTCCTGCTCCAAAGCTGCACTGCCATTTGCTCATGATTTTCAGAGAAAAGTATTTTCAGAGAAAATAATGTGCTGCTTGGGCTGAAACATCTTATAATAACTCTGTCTGGAAGGCAGATGGGAAGGTATGTAGGGGAGGGAGTATGAGACAAGAAAGTTGGGTCTGGAGAAATCAGTGTGTCTATTTGTTGCGGTTATAACCCTAAGAGGAAGACCATGGTATGTCCAGCAGTTACTGATCCATGTAGCAGTTACCCTGTGAAGGCACAGGGCTGTGCTGTGCCGCACATACAACACAGCTGTCCAGCCCATGTCGTGCCACACATATCCCTTGGCATGGGGTAAACTTTGCTGGCTAGTCGTATCAGAGGCAGCCCCTGCTTGGCACGAGCAACACCATCACCTGCATGTCCTTGTCTTTATCTTCAAGTGAAGCAGCACGTTTGTGTGTGACCACCCTTTTCTTTGGCACTTGGGGTGAGAAAGAGAGTTGGTTTCTTCTAATAAAATCCTGCAAGAGCTCTAAAGACCAATGTGTCGGCGATAGGACTAATGGATGGGATCTGTGCAGGGTGCCAAGCCCTGATCGGAGGTCCAGCTGATGCTGCAAAACAGTGCCCTGCATCTGAATGGATGTGAGATTTTTCTATGCTATCCCCTTTTTCCTTCTAGTATTATCACCAATAAATGATATTTTAATAGCTAAGGAAGAGAGTGCCTTTCTTACTGGGGTCATGACCACTAGTCCTGGTGTGTTATAGTGACATGAAGGAGAAGGGAGCAGGCTTAAGCTGAATGCTGGTACCATTTTCAGACATGCTGAGGCATGTTGTTACGAGATGTCATATGCAACCTGGATTGGAGTCCTGCAAAAGGATCACATACTGGCTTTTCTCTGGGGCAAGTGGATTTTAAAATACCAGCTGTGGTCATAGAAGATATGGTGCTGAGACTACACTCTTCCATGGAAAATACAGAGGAGGGAGGAAAAATATCCTACGTATCTCCCAGATGCTCACTATTTCTCAGGCAAAAATTTGCACTCGTGCACAGGGAGCCCTAAACATTTTGGACTGTACGTGCAGAGATGACTGGGCAGTGCATGTATAGAGAGCAGACACTTGCAGGAGCATTAGCTGCAGTTTGGGAGTTCAGGCTCCCGAAATTAAAACTGTATATCTGCAGGGCAGTCACAGCATGGGTGCTCTCGATATGTACTGTCCTTTACTTCTGCCCTTCCCAGGCATCAGGCCCTACCTGTGAGATGAACTGGATGATCTGAAAAGCCTTTTGCTGCAATTTGCCAAGGGGAGTCTGTCAGCTTATTTCATCCATCAAATAAGCATATGTCCAGTAGTAATCACTTCTTGTCTCTGCTGTACGGGGCTGGTTTAAAAACCAGGGGCACAGACATGAAGTGTTATTGTTGTATTATTATCTGGCCAGAAATACAATCACTGCTTCCCAACAGCTTCAGGCTTTCCTCCCATAAGCCACGGAAAGTCTCACGTTAATGTACTTGCTATAAAGGCAGATGCAATCAAATGAAATGTATGTAAATGACAGTGCCCCTGCCCAGGATGACTGTCTGGGGAATGGACCAGTGTTTCTTGGCTAGCAGCATAGGAAACAAGATGGTCAGCGCTGCATTTTCCTCCTCGAAGCAGTTCAGATGCAATTCAAATGAATCCCTCGTGGAACCCTCCTGGCTTCTGCTGAACTATGACACAGATGGGTCTGGCTCATTGCACGCAGCAAAAGCCGCTTAATTAGAGCAGCAGCTCATTTTATTTGTTTTGGATCATCTTTATTAGCCATCACTTAAGCTCGTAATTAAGGGCAGAATAGGGACTGTAAAAGTGGTACCATCCTCTGCT